GTATCGTCTTCTGTTCAGTAACCTTCCCCGAGTCAATCAGGCGACGCTACGAGCGCTAGTTAATCATTTATACTGGTGAGACCAACGCTCTTCCTCTTTCTCATAGAGCACTTCCTTATAGCTCTCCTTTCAGAGAAGTGTTAAACGTCTCTTTCAGACCTTCTGATGTGAATCAACAGATGCATATTGGAGAAATGGCAGGCGGAATGGGAAGAATGTCAAAATAGCAAACTTTTTGAAGTAAATTCTGTTGTAGGAACGAGATATATTGGAAGAGTTCATTTGCAAAGACGGATAACTCCATTTTTAACAATTTTCAAAAATCATGTTTTTCATTGTGCATTCCAGTTAATCTCAATCACACTGCAGTTGGGTTAGTTTGATTAGGTTAAAAAATAACTAAAAAATACAGCTAACTAACAATAAAACTACTATTAATCGTGATTAATCGCATGCAAAATAAAAGTTTTTGTTTGCATAATATATGTGTGTGTTCTGTGTATATTTATTATGTATATAAAATACACACACACACACATACAGTATATATTTTGAAAATATTGACATGTCTATATTTATATTAATATAATTTATATTATGAATAAATATATTTAATATATAAACATAACATATTTTTAAATATATACATGCATGTGTGTGTATTTATATAAACATAATAAATATACACAGCACACATACATACAGTATATTATGTAAACAAAAACGTTTATTTTGGATGCGATTAATCGCAATTAATCGTTTGGCAGCACTAAATAAAACACAACAAAAACATGATAACAATAAAAAAAAAAAACATGATTTTTGAAAATGTTAAAAAACTGAGTTATCTGCTTTTGCAAATAAACTCTTCTTTTATTCATTTAAATCTAGGCATGACCAAGTTGTGTCGGACATACTAGATTAACTCATTTATTGATTGGTGAAGAAGCACCAAAATGTCAATATCGCGGGAAACATGTGCTTTTGATCTGCACAATATTTAATGTCATGAGACAAATGTTATTATCAGGACGAACTCTTAAGGACTTGGACCCAGAAAACCTTTTACAATTTCTTCCAAAAGTAAATTTAAAGAATCTTTTATAGAATTTTATGTACAAAACTTTACAATTGCGTTATTTAATGTGTGTATTTTGTATTGTGTGTGTACTACTGTCTTGTTTTTCTGATGTATAATCTTTGGCTGTGAAGCTGACGTGGCATTGATCTTAAATCAAGTGAAGGCCTTCTGATGTGTGTGTGTTTGCAGCGTGCAGCGGTTTGCGGATCTCAATCAGATGAATCTTCACAATCTGGCCATCGTGTTCGGACCGACTCTCTTCCAGGCAGACGGGAAGGACTACAGCGCCGGCCGAGTCATCGAGGATCTCATCCAACACTACGTCACTATATTCGATGTATGTTTGTGCTTGTTTAGATAGAACATTATATGAAATGCACATATCTGTCTGAAGATAGCTATGGACTTGTTAGAGTTTGTTTAGGGTTACAGTTTTTCTCAGTGGCTTTGGTGCATTTCTCAGATCAGAAATGAACTTCTTTAACCTCCACATCATCTAGTCACTCGTGCACATCATAAAAGCAGTTTCTCGATTGCTTTGGTACCTTAATGCAACTGATTATGTACATTTGTCTGCAGTTTCCTGCGTTATCAGTTGCTATTTTCATGTTGCTCAAAATGTATTATATAGTTCTCTGTGCAATAGACTTTCCCCTCAAAACATCTAGGCATTAGTTCATCGTATAAGTTAATAAATGCAAAAAGGTTGATCTAGTTGTCATAAACTGTCAAGCATATTTTCTACACGACTTTTTGTAAATTTGCCATGAATTGTGCAAGTGAATCTTGACTTTCTCTAATGAAGAGAATGTAGATCAGCTAATGATAAACCAGTTCTCTGTGAATCCTATCCAGTCTCTTTCAACCAATACCCCACATACAGTAGCTAATGTGTAAAGTTGTACTTTTGAAATGGACATATGGCATACTACAGAAGAAGTGCAACCTTCTGCATTTCAGTACAGTAACTGCATCCAAACTGCTGTCATAGTTTACATCAGGCAATACTAACAGAGTTATATTGACAACATGATTAGATATATGCAGTCACTAGCGCCATCTATTGGTGAGACTGGAGTAAGAACTATAGTGGCAGCACATTACTGATGTGCGTGGGTGTGTGTGTGTGTGTGTGTG